GTCATGTGTCAGAGGGGAATCTATTTTTTCTTTTCTCTAACAGAGGCCTCTCCTTTGTAATGTGACGTGTCTTTATGCATATGTGACACCAAAAGCTGCAGCTTGTGAGGGAAACACTGAATCTGACTCCACAACAAGTGCTGTGCTGGAGCTCAGCAGCGCTGACTGCACAGGTCCACAAAGAAGGCTCGGACATAGTGCAACATGGAAGTGAAGCAGGACAGTTGGGACCCCGTTCCTCTAAAATTACACATCATTTTATTTTTAAGAAACTGAAGGACACGTAGTAGACTCAGCTGTAAAATAACCAACTCGAACAATGGTTTGTGTTGGTATTAAATGTGTTGGCACTGTAATACCAGGCAGTACTGGGGGCTGAAAGGCCTACGCAGTCTTTAAATATGCATTTTGGATTATTTTATATTTAAATATTTGTTTGCAGACTCTGTTCTTTGTTGTTTTCAAAGATGGAAAGCTCATTTTAAAATATGCAAACCTTTTCTATTCATGGTTTAAGAAGGAGTTGGTCACTGACGTACAGTTTAAGTTTAACTCCCTCAAATCTTGAGTTGAAAGTTTTAGCCACTTTTATCTTTTATAACCTGCAGTCTCAGCAGCTTCACAGGTTCCATCAGAAACCACGTCGTCCATTCTTTTTCTAGTTCCTCCAGTGGGTGAGAGGCGGGACTCGCCCTGGACAGGTCTCGGTCCGTCACGAGGTCAGATGGAGACAAACGACGCACGAGCTTACAATTTCTATTTAACTAGGTAGAATAAAAGCAGTTTATCTAACTGCTCGCACAAAGGCTCCTGCCGAGTTGCAAACCTGCAACCTTCTTGCCGTGACGCAGCTGCACTAACCACCCATCCATCCGTTCCACTTCTTCAGCTGAGTTGCAGGGATCAGTTGCCAACGAGTTAAATAAGACGAGTAGAGGTCCGCTCCCTCTCCCGCCCACCGCCTCCAGCTGTGACACGCAGGAGCAAAGATGGCGGCCAAAGAGGGCAACAGAGCCGACAGCAGCCATTTGATTAACAGCAAGCCCAGCTGGATCTGTGTCATCAATTATTGTAATCTTTTTACAATAAATTAATAGAATTGATCATTAATATTAATTTCATTCAACAATCGCGTAAAACGGCTAACTGGTTTATGAAGATAACTAAAGTCGGTCAATAACGCACTCAGCTCAGAAATTACATATAAAGGTCATTCCATAACAGTATTTATAACGTGTATTTATTATTCCATACCTGGTCGACAGAAAATGTTCCCTGCAGACCCAGTGATGCTCTGAAAGATGAAACTGGTCTCTACCGATATAACGGCTAAACATCTTATCAACTGGTCAGGTTTGTGTAATGGAAACCCCAAAACAGTCAAATGTATAATATTATTTCACTCTGTGTTTACATTAAATAAATCAGAGGCAATACCAGATTGTACTATTTAACAGTTGGTGCTAAATTGAATATAAATATCTGCCACAGAAGCTAATGCTGATCAGTGATCGGCTTTATAGGCTAATTTAAATTTAAAGGATACATTATTAGCTTCAGTTGTGGTTGAATCACATTCACGTTGAGGTAAATAAGATAAAATCTGATAACTTGTGAAATTAGACATCCCCCCCACACCCCCCCCCCCCCCCCACCCCCCCCCCCCCCCCCCCCCAC